TCACAATGCTCCAGTGTCCCTTAGAAGATGAGGAACACGAAGTATTCCTGTGCATTCACTGATTAAACTTGGGCTGGAGGTTTGCGAAGTGCAGAGTTTTGGAAAGTCTTACTGCGGGACTTCAACATCCGTGCAATGGCTCCAGTAACCAGAGTCTCTCAAGGACAAGGATCCCATTTACGCTTGCATTATGCATTGAGCAGAAGGGTGTGATGCATGATGTGGAATGAACAAAATAACTTGTGTGTTTAGGGAAATGCCAAATTAATGAAAATTCAGAAAGCTCTAATGTTGAAAAGGCACACAAATTCCTTGATAGAAATATAATGCTGCTAACAGTTTCAAGATTATTGTTGTCTGAATTTTCTGCTTATTGTGTACTGCAATTAAAATTCTTTTCAACTGAAAAACCAATGTCAAATTAATATTTCCTTTTGGAAAAAAATACGAAAGTACACATCTTGTTCCATTTAGCACCATCATGGTCTTTGATCTGGTTCCCTCTGTCCAGTGAAAAAAATGGATTCATGTTAATGGGAGCAGGCTAAGACCATATATGTTTGGCATACACATACAATCACATGAACACAAGTACAGTAAGTTAAAGTAACACACCCACTCAGACTTCCATCTGCGTTTTATGCCACAAATCCCTTTATTTTCTTTTTTATTTAGCAATTAACTTCTCCATTTATTCTGTAGTTAAAAGCTGCCATAAGATGAAAATAGACTAAGTCTGATTTTCTTCTCTGGCACTCTAAATAACATTCAGAGGAGACTCAGACCTGAATTATGAAATGTGTGTTTCCTAAACGTGCCAGGTGTGACTGTGATTTGGACAACAGTCCTATACACAGAATGGTAAGAAACACTTTTAAACCCCACCTGGGTTACCCAGCCGTTGTGTTCTGGCTGTTCTTGTTTATTCCTTGCTCGGAGCAGATGGATAGAAAGAGGCAGGGAACGGGGAGGATCCTTGGCTCCATTCCCTATTCACCGGCCAGCACAGCTGAGACGGGTTGGGGGATATTGTAATTTGTTGCTGCCCTGCACCAGAGAGGAGACAGAGGAGAGTTGGGACTCAGAGGTGTCCTTAGGAGTTGGCACTGCCCCTTCCTTGGGGCCATGTGAAGTGCTGAAATCTGGTCTTCAGTGCAGTGGTCCCCAATATTCATTAGGTCTTGGGAACAATGCTGAGGAAAGCCGTGTAAGGCAGCAGCATCCTCCCTGGGCTCTGCCCAGGGTAGCTTCAGTTTTAACTTTTTAATTTCCTGCATCCCTGAGCAACACAGGAGGGGAGGCTGCGAACTGGGGACCGCTAAATGTGTTAAAACTCATTAGGTATGAAACAGAAGACCTTTAAAACTAGCCAAAAGTCTCAAACATGGGTGCCAAAAATTAAACACCTAATTCCATATTTAGTCATTCATCTTAGTTCCTGCCTCACGGTTGTTAATATACACCATGCTGTCTCATAGGTGGCCTGATTTTCATAGGCACCGGGCTATGAATATACACCATGCTAACTCAAGTGTTGAGACTGCTTACCTAAAAGTAAGACTTGTATCATCAGATTTAAATTTTTCTGGGTGATTAAACCTGAGTTCCCTCACTCTCGCTCTCAGCTCGAGAAAGGAGCTTCGATAGAATGACCAGCATTGTAACATATGGCTTAGCAAGGGGGAAAAAAAAGAAAATGAGTATTAGAAATGGATGGACTAAAGAATACGCAGGATATATCAGGCACATTAACCAAACATATGGTGCTAAATGAGATTTTTTTTAAAAATGCAAAAAAATTGACATTCCTGGCAGTCTCAAGGATAATGTGACATGGCTGTGATAAATTTAGAAGAATGGGACATATTTTGGCTTGTTCTTGGAAACCTTTTTCTTGCATGCCGACTGTATTTCTTCTTTTATTAACCCATTCAAAGAATGTTTGAATTTTGCTGCTGGAGCACCATGCTAGCGCAACATAAAATGTGAATGATGCTAATTGCTTTGCACTGCCTAACTTTCTGTCATACCCTCCCCTCTTAAAGGACAAAACATGCTTTGGAAATGAGCTGGCAAGCTCATTTATTCTTTCTCTTGGTCAATATTAAGTGATGTAATTAAGCTCCTGTTTGCATATTCTTCTGAACTAGGAAGCAGCCATTTTTTTCTTGAGATCTGATGGATATGATCGCTCAAAATAAAATGTGTCATTACAAGCCTCAAACAAAATAAAAACATTGTAGAGTTGGACTGTTCCAAACCAATACATTTCAGAATACCCTGAAATAAAAAAAAAAGAAGTGATAATAATGGCAATCAGAACAATGATGCCAAACAAATACAACAAAAGTAGGAACCAATTATCAGTGTTTCAGTTTGTCTTTCTACTGAATTTTATAACATAGTGATACATTAAAATCTCTATTTTCACATGAAAACAGCTGTCTCAACCTTATAAAATTCATCCCCATATGAATGTGACACTGCTCAGCATTGCCACAGTGCAAGGTCATTCATCAGTTTTGTTGTAGCTCCTCAAATTCCAGTGGTTGGACACAATCACATGAACTTGCTACAGTTTTAAACCATATTCCACTGTTCTCTCTGCCCCTTCCCCCTGCCACGGTTTAGATGAGTCAAACAGATTTTTTAGCCCAGGGGTAGAAGAATAGCTTCTTCACTTTCTCAGAAGCTTTATTATCTTTCCCGTCATCCTGAAGAGGGTATGCAGCTAGAGGATATGGGGGAAAGCAGGGAGTTCATGAGCCAGCTGAACCATACAGTGCATAGACTCGGAGATCTTACTCCTTCCACGACCTCCGTTGCTTGCCCAGGGCACAGGTACTCCTGTCCCCTCCTGGATCTCTGCTCATGGGCTGCGCAGCCGTTAGCTGCGTGCAGGGCCTTGTGACTCCACGCAAGAGTGCTGCACGACCTTGCGGTTAGAGCAGCTCACAAGCAGGCATATTTTAGTGTGATAATCCCTGTGCATAAACAGTCGCTTGTTCTGTCCGTGATATTTTGCACTTAGAGGGATGGAGCCTGCTACGTTAAAACCTGCCCTGGGGGCAAACCTAGCCCCTTCCACAGCCCAGCACAGAAGAGATGTACCCATGGTCTTGCTGCCAGCAGTGTAGTTCCTCTACCCACCCCGCCCCAAGCACAAATACTGCCACTGACCTTTGACTTTCTGTTTAGGGCTGGGGCTGACGCTCATTGGTGTTTCCATGCCCAGTTCCTCTATCATAAGGAAATCTGGGTCAACAGCACCGTTGCTTCTTTTGAGTATCCTTGTCCTGAATATGGACACTCAAACACAGAGCAATAACTAAGTTACATCCCAACATGCCATTTGAGCAGAAATTCAGCAGGCTGCAGTGGAATATTTCATTGAAATGCCTTAGTTCAGTCTCCTTTTCTCTCTTACTCCAAAACCAAACCAACTCTTTCTGCTTTTGTCCCTACTCCAAAGTCCTTAAGACCAATATGAAAAAAAAGACAACCCACTATTTTTCTTGCACAATAGTCTGTCAGTTCTAAACTTTTATTTTTAAAAGATTAATATGTAACCTTTCTTGCTATGAGGAAAAAGCCACCACAACAACAAACCCTTCTAGCGAACAGTTTCAAGACAGAAAGCTGCAAGTACAACACTGGAACTCTAACTACTCCCTTACTTTATTTAACTTTCTGAAATATATATTGCAAAACCTCACTGAAACCATTAAGACCCCAGCAGTGCAGCTTATAAAGTACAAGAAGGCTCCTGCATATTGCAATCAACATCCCAGGGACTATAAAACTAGTGTTATTAAATATAAAGTTAATAATATTGTCCAGAGATAATATTGTCCAGGCCTCTCTCTTTACTTTTTAACAATTAAATTCTATAAAATACAGAGTTGGAAATAAGGTTGAATGACTTTGCTAGTGAAGTTCAACTTCCACTTTATCTGATATTTTGCTTTTGCTCCTGAAACCTCAACTATTCTGCACCTTTGTTTTGCTATATCCCTACGGATACGCAAAATATCTGATGTACTGTATATACTGGAAATTATGTGTTTTCAGAGTATGTGCAGATAATCAGAATACCCATATACCTCTAGGACTGTAAAAATATAGAGAATAATGCAAACGCACATACATATTCTTCATCTATATGCTGTAATATTCTTTTATCCAAGCATAAATCATATGCAGAAAAGGCAATACATTCATTCCACTAATTTCTTTGGTGCCATGGGCTTGATATGATATCAACAGGAGTTATTCTTACAGAGTGTAACAAACCGGTCATATTAGCATTACACCATTTCTGCCTGTCCATGGGAGAGGTTTCACCCAATGGCAACTTAACTCTGATTTTCATTGGAAGCCTTTGATATAATAGTTCAAGGGCATAATAACAACTCTGAAAAAATTCCAGTGTGGCTTCTAATATCAAGACACAAATACCATTCACCCTTTAAAAAAATTTGAAAGCAAAAGGCAACCACATAAATATATTGCTTTCAAATACCTTTGAAGTCAGGAGAGTAAGGAAAGGCAGAGTTTGAACTCAGAAAACTTTATTCTCTAGTTGTGCCTTGAGTCGTGCAGCACATTTAAAAGATCCATTTGCAATAATCTACTAAACCAGTGAGTGAAAGACAGAACTCATAAAAAGCCTGTAAAAATCCAAATGCTCCAGCTATTACAGATTTCTAAAAATAAAGCAGAGTAGGTTTCAGTAGCAATAATAAGCTGCATCTTATCCATATATCAGATTTAAAAAAAAAATATGGCTGCCGTTTAGTACTCATTGCTCAGAGCAAACCATGGCCACTTCTGCCTCAAAAAAGACCACAAATAAAAGTGAGCTTTCAGCTTGCTGTTGTATTCCATTTCATTTGTCCTTTAAGTTTATCTAGCTGCTTCTGCACCCACTTTCACAATGCATAGGCTGTCGTTCCATGACCTAGCATTATTAAATTGCACTTATCAATCATTCTTGCCAGGAATGCCATCGCCAACTACATTAAAGAAGTCAGAGAAGTCTGGTTTCAGCAGTCCCTCGCCTTCGCAGACCTCCTCCCTTGGAACGGCTTTCACACAGCACCATCGACCTGTCATTACAGGACCCAGAGGTGAGGCCTAACCCAAGAGCCCCCAGGCAGCTTAAACGTTAGCCACGGCACCCAGTGTCCATCCCAGCACCTTTCCACAGAAAGTCATCGCCACGTGTGACCCACTCCATGAGAGGCTGTGCTTCAAAAGCTTGTTAACCCGGAGGTTTTAGTTGTCAAGACCTGTGTTCCGTTTTGCTAGGCTGGGCTGTTTGGTAGACCTCCTGATGACCATACAACAGTGCCTAAGGGGGAAACGCTGGTTTCTGGGGGCTTGGGGGTTTTATTTGAAGAGGGTGGGGAAAGGGACAGAATGTGTTACAGAGAGTGTCTTCTGCTTGTATCAGTATGTAACATAGATTCAGTCTAACTGCTGGAGATAGGGACTCATCACTCACTTCTGAAACATGCCTGTCTTCCAGCACTATGGCTTTGTTTCTGCCAGTCATTTACTACTCGTGTTGTTGGTATCAGTGTGCTGAAGAACCGCCTTGTTAGGGGCGTTGGTTCCTGCAATGCTTTGGCTGGTTTTCTTCACAGTACTCTTCTGACTGACTTTCCAAGTAAAAGAGATGTCCTCTGGGTCTAGATGTGCTTATACATTTTTGTTAGAAAGATGCATTTGCATTTAGCCTAAAAAACTAAATGCAATACTCAGCTCACATTTGGAAAGGAACTCACTTGGGCATAGTAATATACACAAATGAATGAGTCTTCTTACAAACCTCTTTGGAAGATATAAAAATAGGAATGAATGGTTGTGACATATTTCTTTCTGCTATGAAATTTTGTCCCATTTAGAGAAGATTATTAAGGAATTGGTCAAATGGTGAAGCATAAAAAGACATATTAGCAATTCATACTAGAAATTATTCTGAAGTGTCTGTTTGGTGTTAGTGTGGGTTTACTGAGGGCAGCGTAAACCAGGGGGAGCCTCTTTGTCTGGACAGTCCAGGTGATGCATTGTGAAGTAGTGGAATTGCTCTAAGTTGAAGCAAGGTCAGACTTGCACTTCTTGGTTATTTGTGCTTTGTTAAATCTACTTATTGTAGTTTGATTTGTTGTGGTTAATCCCATAAAAATTATTTATTACCCTTAGACACACACTTAGATCCTCAGAAGATATTTAGGCATCTAAGTTCTATACAGATTTCCCTTGAAATTTGGATCTCAGCTATCTGGCAAATATATCTTCTTTTAAAAGCCTTGATAATTGGTGATATAAGTATGAATAATATGAATGTTCCATTAACATTATATTCAGTGCACATCAGCTGACTGAATTCCTATCTTTTAGAAGTTCAACCTTTTAGATTTGAGTTGTTAATTGATCAGTTAATAGGCCTTTCTGTATTTAGCTGTATTTTACCTCACACTTATTTTTGAAGATCATTGAATGCCTCTGTCTGCCCCTGTTTAGACCTTCTGTATTTTGGATTTTTGTGTGGTTGAGAGAGGAAATGTACCATGGTGAGGTCTTGTTTAAATCTCATCTATAGTCTATTTTAACAAGACTTTTCCTGTGCACCAGGGGATATCCATCAGCTATGTGAGAAGAACATTCAAAGACAGACAGAATTTGAAAGAGCAAATACAATGATTACAGTTCCCAAATTTTGTTTGTTTGGAAGGAGACGTCTTTACTAACTCCATAAAGAAGTAACAGTTTCTTATCATCAGGGTTCCTAACAGGTTAAGCAAAAAACTTTCTTCTGTAACATCATTTAGAAGCATCTTCTATTTTATGTTTTTTTCAGAAACAAAGTCTTACAGACTTTCAGGAAAAATCCCTCTGAATCCATCCATGGATTCTTTAAGTGTCATCATCCTGGAAAAATCTTGTTCCAGACTTAATTCTTTGTTCTTTTTGGACATTCCTCTTCAGTATTCTTCTTCCGCAGCACACTGGCTGTGTTTATTTCTCTTCTACAACCATCGTTCTGTTAGTAAAGGGTAATATACTGAGATGGATTATTTTCTGCAAATCCAGCTTTGTTCTTTATCCCCTTCCCTCCAGTGTACTTTAGGACAGTAAGCAGAAGAGAGAAGCTTTTCAAGTATCAAAAGTGGCAACATGAAGACTATAATGCAGTCATATAAGAGGATATAATCTTTAAGCAATTCATATCCACCATTAGTTACTGGAAGTTGTACCTTTCTGCAGAAATTATAGGTATGACATAGTACAGTCATGTTGCATTCGCTTTGGATACGTATGCATTATGTAAATGGTCAGTGGCAGGTCATTCTGAGTGGTCTTCAGACAAGTAAGAGCAGGATTTAATCTTCAGTCTGCAGAGATATTTCAGAGAAAGGAAAGTCATGAGTAAGTAGGTCACCATCAGAGTAAGCTCCTCAGCCAACTGAACGATTACGAGAAGGTTCAATCTCCTTCTGATGTTCATATGTGCAAGTTTATCACTTGAATGTGTATATGAGATGCATTTGTAAAGCATGATCAAAATAGACAGCAGAGAAGAAGCTGTAGACTATTCATGGCAGGTGTTGTCATTGACAACCAGTGATTTATAACTTCTCAGGAATATTCCTGAATCTTTCACACACTTCCAAACATTCCTTAGAATACAGTGCACATCGTATGCTGGAGTATCCCAGGATACTGAGTGCCCTTCCCAGTGATCCCCACGATGAGTCATTTTGGAAACAAAACTTGCTTGGAGGAGGAGTAGATCCTTAAGAGGATTTCTTAGCTATAAGGTGCTCCATTCAATGAACCACTTGGAAAACCTCTGTTCTCATGAAATTGTCTGTGCTGTACTGTATTGTGTTGTGGAAGGCTGTGCACTAGTTTCCTATCTGCATTGGTGCTGCTGCCAGTACTCAACCCAGCTGGGCAGTAGCCAGCAGAGAGGATCTGAGCTGGCTGACCAAAGGACCAGATGTGCAGTGAGTGCTGGCACATGGATGCCAATGCTTCAGTGACTCCTCAGTAGTTCCAACAGATGGTGGTAAGATCCAAGTTTCTTTGGTGATAAGCTAGCAAAGTGATTCATGGAGCCTCACTTGATGATGGCAGTTTTTTGGGCATGACTCTATGAATGCACCATATGTCTTCTCTGGACCAGTGTGGTTAGGATTCAGTGTCTGGCAGATGGTAAACTGATCACCTATAGGGTGGCTTTAGCATCACTATCAGTTTTAGAATTTATTTCAACACATTGAAAATTCAAGCAGTTAGATCTCTATCTCCTACACAGCATACTTTTGTTACCTGCAAGTTAGATTATTTGGTGGTCAGTGTAGCTCACCGCAGTACTCCAGTATTGCAAAGCCATCGTATTGCTGGCATCTTACAAAGTTTCCCAGACATTAGCCCACTTGAACTCTTTACCAGACAGTGAAGGATTTAAATACTATGTGTGACAGCAGTATTTACATAAGTGGTTTTAGGCTTCCATGTATTGCTACTTACACTCTAGTGACTTTATATCTGGAGCTGGCTGAAACGTTAAATTGACCATGATCTTGTAAACCTAGGATATACAGCAGCCTGTGCTGTAGAGCATTCAAGCATTTCCACAGAATATGACAGCATAGATCCTGCAAGCCAAAAAGCAAGGAAGAAAAGGCAAAGAAAGGAAAAAAATAAGAATGAGATGGTATGTTAGGAAGACAAATGAAGGAGAAACACGATTACAAGAAACAAGAAATACAGCACAAAGGGAAGAAGCCAAGGAAGTGGGTGTGTGAGCAGAAAGAGAAGAAGGGATGAAAGTCAACCAGTGGAATGGTTCCCATTATACTAATTTCCTCCATAGTAAGCATTGCCATTGAGATTTTTATCAGGACAAGGCCTACCAGGGAAACTCTGCAGGATAGTACTCTCTGTTTGTGCCAAAGTGGCAAAAACTTTATGTCACATATCTGGGAAGACATTGTGCCCTTCTCTATCAAAATTCTCCACAGGGTCACCAAAATATCAGTGCCTGTTAGCTGTCCTGTCAGCCAGCTTCAAGCAAATCAAAGTGATAATTCCTGCTAACTCGCTCCAGAGCTACACAGTATAAAAGGACATTTTGTAATATCCTATTCTGTACAACTATCTGTGGCTGCTCCTCAATGCTGTCAGCTGGCAGACTAATGTAACCTTCTACTTTCCTTTGAATATTGACAAAAACAAAGCGGTGCAAGTTCATTCCGATACAGGCACCTCAGATCAGGGGATGGTAATGTAAGACAGCCAAAAGATGAGAGAGCCACACCACAAGGGTAAGAAAGTTGAGTAGAAACCATAAATAGCATAACACTGACCAACAGAGGAGCGTTGCTTTTGCGACAGCAAAAAGCAATGCTCCAGTTTACAATGTCAGGATAGCTGACTGTGTAGGTGAAGATTTTTATTTTCTCCACTCACTTTGAAATAATATGATGCTGAAGGAAAAACAGTTTCCTAACAGATGGCCTCAAGGTCAGGGTTTAGTAATTACTAGATACCCTACCCAAACTGCCATCGACTCTCATATCCCAGGCAGGGGAGGGCAGAGAGGAAGGCTTGCAAATGGTTAAAGCTTCAGCTAAACAAAAGTCAGGAACCGTGTAATTAAAACTCTACCTTTGTTGTATTGTAAAGAGTTAGCCTGTGACATAGGAAATATTTAAAGGAGCAGGCTGTTCAGCTAATTTGTGTGTGAGTGAACTGCTTAGACAGTCCTATCCTAAATTAACTGTAAGGCCACCCACTGAGATTGCCTCATAAAGGGCCATGATTGCTCAGCTTCGTTTTGTATAACCGTTCAATAATTACTAGATAAATGCATAACTAAAAGCTCTATTACACTAATAATTTGTACTGAGATAGATGTGTGGGACACCATGCTGGGTTAATTTGTCATCCCTGCAGCAAACTTCTGAAGAGGGCTCTTTTGCAGAGGAATTGTGTTAATATGTTGCTCCAGTGAGGACATGTTAGAGCAACAAGATGACTTGGTCGCTTAATCTCCTAAAGAGGCAAAATGCCTGGAGGGTAAGTGCCAGAAAGAAGAATGGGGGGTGATTAACAC